TAATGCGCCTGGCAATCTGCCTTTACCATTTTTCAAACTAGTTAGTACATGCAGTGAATTAAACGCGGCGTTAAAATCCGGGAATTATCGGCATTACTCACTGATATTATTAACATTGATAAGTTGTCAGCACAGGCGCACCCCGTCTGGAAATTTGCTCGACTTAGGCGAACTCTTCCATTAACCACCTGGTGCAAATTTCTCAGGAAAATTTAGGTTAACAGTTATCGGAGTGTTAACAGTACTTTGATGTGACACCGGTAGCGCATTCCAGTCACTATCGGCATAATTACTCTCAATTCCATTCTCCATGAAAAAGCTTTGAAATTCATATTTGCACGTGGTGACTCAAAGGGTATTTGACCTTCTCCACCTAGATGATGCAAGAAGTAAAATTTGACTATACCCCCCCAAGTACTGTTTGACGAATAAGGTTCTAACGTTAAAATTTCAGAGGAAAGTTAGAAAATAGAACGAATAAAAATCCACGACTGATCAAATATCGCTAAGAAGACCTCGACAACAATACAGTAAATGCATCCAGAAATAGGCCGATGTGAACGCAATGAATTTAAATGATACGATACAAGGCTAGCGGTAAGACTGGCTTCAGGTCTGCAATTGAGTCACGCCTTTGATCCGTTGTACAGAAAATACCACCTTTCACTTGAATGATCCTCGTCAACTCGGAAATGAATGGTTATGAACAGCACCTGCTTTATTAACAAAGACGCCGATTAACTTACCTACAAAGACATCGTCGCTCAGGGCTCCGGCCATCACCCGTACGTGTTTGACGCGTCCCACGTAGTTGGGAAAAACGCTCTTCGGACTACGGTCACCAGCGAATCCGGCTTTAATCACACCGGAACCATTGTCGATCACTATTGGCTGATTCGCCAGAACATCGAATGTATCCATTGCGATGTTCAGGTCCGATGTGGTAAGGTTCGATCTGATCTGATCACGGGTACCCGGCGACGAGATTCATTTTATAACTGAACTAAACAACCAAACTGTATTTAAACGATTTTCAAAACCAGATGTTACGGTATGTCGCACTGAACATGTCATACATTATACAGTGAATCAATTGACATATTATGGCATCGACTTTAATATTAAAACATCATAAGAAATATCTTTTCATAAATGATAAGCTATAACATTAAGAAACAGTAAAACTCACAGTAATTGAGGATGTTTTGTAAATCATGTAAGAAACGTACACACAATTGTCATAAGGCAAATAATGTACACGACTAATGTGTGACTGATGAGCCTCAATAAGTGACGGTTTACAAACACCCAATTAAAAGACCTAAGCACAGATGAAACAATGAACTAAGAGATATGGAAGTCTGTAGCCAAAAATCGCACGAGACATAAAAGCCGGGGGGAACAAGGCAGTGATTATCCCTGTTATTTACGACGAAAGGATCGGTCAACAATGTTAAGAATATAAAGAATACTAGCACCTGAAGCATCATTCCTAATAAACAGGAGGATGCTCCAACAAATCAAATTATATCAAGAAGCATCGAGCACCGCAAGATCCCAAATACAGCGCAGCAGTGCGGTAATACGGATACACGGTCTTGGAGCAACTTTATCCAATTAACATATTTTGGTGTATGTATCCATATTTGTCATGCTATGCACAACAACGGGTGAAGGTCGAAAGAATATTCAAATAAGTCAGTTAGGAATTTGAGAAAGGGCGAGAACGTGCCAGCTCAGTCATACTACAGTATACCACCAACATTGTTCAATAATTTTTTTCAGAATTAAATTAGTGACTTATAATTATTAGATGGAAAAAAGAGAACATTTTGCTCGTGCACTTGTATTCATACCGAAAGCAGTACAAAACACGGTTCAATTACACACAACGCAAACAATTTGGTCAATCAGATGACTGACCAGTACCAACGAAATCTTCTTCGACTCAGAAAAGTTGGAGAGATGGGAGTCGTCGGAATTCTTCCTTGTCATATGCAATGACTCGTATGAGGGCTTTCTGAAACTTTCCTATGTCTGCATATTGAAGAAAATCTGTAAGACACGAACCGAAACGTCGCTGCTGGCCAATCGTCCGATGTAAAGAATATGAATAATTTACTTAGGGACCGACAGATGGTTGAACGATTCATGGTTCAGGGCATCAAACACAGTAGATAGTAAGAAGTTTCTTGTCATATCGTTTCGCTACACACACCGCAGTATCATCAGGACTTAACATTAATGGCTGCTGAAGGCACTTACATTTAACAAGTGAACAGAACTATTGTTTCCTGATTGAAACATACGAGCAAACAAAGCGGCTGTCAACCGCATGAACAACATAAAACTAGAACATTAACTAACAGAAA